ATGGTTAATCTTAAATTTTTATCTTAAACATATGTCAAGGATCTTGAGTTTCACATCAACATTGAAAGATCTCCTTCATTTGAAGGTTTCTAAACAAATGCCTGACCACTATATATCAGGACTGCTTGGATGGCGTCTCCTGTCTGGCAGGGGGGCTAGGCTGGTGGCTGACTTAATTTCAGGATAAATACAACTCTTACAACTATATGAAATAAGAATCTAGCATTTCTTAAATCCTTTGCATAATTACATCTATGCCAATACACTTAATACACAACACAGGTAGCCTCTTAAAAGGAATAAGGCCTTTGTAAAGTAGAAAAAGGAACTCAGTAAAAAAACAGCTTCAAAAGAAGCCTCTTCAGTTTACACCCCCCCCTCAGCCAGCTGCTTTCCCCATTAGCTCTTCCCAACATTTATTGCCCTTCAACTCTCTCAGTTTAAGAAAGAAACAGCTTTTAAAAAAGACTTCCCAAAAATGCTCTCTTTCTGCCAGCTAGATGCTTCTCCATTGCTCTTGGCCTTTTAACCTTTGGAAAGAAGATCTGGCTCATTTTACTGGGAGGCACATTGGTATTATTTTACTATTTACTCATTCCTAATTATGTTTATCTCTGCCTTTTTTATCTTCTGTAACATGTAGGGTCAGTGTCCTCGCTCTCAGTCTGTAATTCCAGCTTTTACGACTTTGAGAATTGTTTTCTGCTATAAATCAAGGGGCCCCTTGTCTAGGAGGAAAACATTGCCAAAGGTTCTCTAAACAGCTGGTCTTCTTGCCTGGCATGAAACATTTGAAAATCTAAGCCCATTTAATTTAGGAACCTGATCAAGATATAAGCCAATATAAGTCTTGATTAAAAATGCAGTCTATATTCAGATGCCACAGCGGCAGCATCACATCCTGCAGCTACATACATGAATTTTTAAATATTGTGTCAGAGGAAATTAGATGAGTTCGTGTTAGTACAAATCTCCTTCCACTTTTTTTTGAGAGTGATAGCATGTGAGCAGAAGGGGTCAGGACGGAACGTCTCTATTAGTAAAGATTTGTTGCTTGTTATGGACTTATGCTGTGATGGGGAACTTGTGACTAACAACAACAACAACAATAATATCAATATGCCACCTATCTGACTGGGCTGCCCCAGCCACTCTGGGTGGCTTCCAAGAAAAACACAGTAAGACATCAAACATTAAAAACTTCCCTATACAGGGCTGCATTCAGGTGTCTTCTGAAAGTCAGATAGCTCTGATGGGAGGGTGTTCCACAGGGCGGGCGCCACTACTGAGAAGGCCCTGGTTGCGTTGCAACTGCCATCATTCATGACCATAGGCCATGTTGGCCGAGGCTCATGGGAACTGCAGTCTAACAGCATCTCAAAGACCACAGGTCCCTGTGCCTGGATGAATGCAAAACATCAGGGGTGACTCTGGCTTTTTAAGACCCTTGGATGGCTTACAGCACAATTCTAATTGCGTGGCCAGGCACCACAACCCCTGCTACCCCATCTCTGACCACACCCCAGTCAAGACACATACTTTGGGGTCAAGTAAGGCCACAGCATTATGGATTATTGATTACAGATGTGCCTGGGCAGGCCGCAGGCCTGGGCGTCCTCTTATATACCTGCTGGGATTGACAAGGCATCTGACCCTCACCTGAATCTCATAGCTCTCCTGTAGCTGCCTCTGATTCGTTATCATTTAACTCTTGGGGAAAATAACTAGCATCACACGTCATGTGCATGGAAGTTGCCAAACCAATTAACCAACTAGAAGGATTAATGTTAATAGCACCAGTTTTCCTATAACTTGATATTGTTGGATAGTTTTGATGAGCTGCAAAAGCATTTTTAGTTTGCTTTCTGTTGCCACCCTGGAACTTTTCTTTATTAGTGCCACTTTGCTTTGTATGATTCCTTGCAAATGAAGGAAAACAACTTTTCTGCTTGTGTATGTTGATAATATAATTTTGGTTACTGAGGACAAACAAGATTATACAAAACCAAGATTGGGTGCAGGCCTGGTCAGGACATAGGCATCCTGACTGTGACAAAGGTGACCTGTATGCTTACTTGCTTGCTTGCTTAACAACTGTTGTGAACTTCAAGGTCCCTGCTCTCCCTTCTTATGGTCTTTGTACTGGACCTGGAGAAGAAGTATCTGAAGAAGTGTGCATGCACACGAAAGCTCATACCAATAACAAACTTAGTTGGTCTCTGAGGTGCTACTGGAAGGAATTTTTTTTATTTTTTTTTTGACTACGGCAGACCAACACAGCTACCTACCTGTAACCAGGTAAGTAGGGTTAGGATTGCAACCTTAGCCTAAGACGTTCAATTGTTGATGGAGAAATAAGCAGTGGCATGATCAGGACATGCAGAGTGGAAGTATGGCTTCAGCATCCCTGCACATGTTCTGCTTCTGATCTTAATAAAGTGGTACCTCGGTTTAAGAACAGCCCTGTTTACGAACTACAGTATTCGGTTTACGAGCTCTGCAAAACCGGAAGTAGTGTCCCGGCTTGCAAGCTTTACCTCAGTCTAAGAACGGAATCCGAATGGTGGAAGGGCACCGGGAGGCCTCATTAGGGAAAGCGCGCCTCAGTTTAAGAACGGTTTTGGTTTGAGAACAGACTTCTGGAATGGATTCAGTTCATAAACTGAGGTACCACTGTAGTGTGCTTTGCGTCCAACCTGTCTGGATCCTGCTACACCAAGTGGGAGACAAGGCGATGGCATTGGCTTTTGGTTCTGGACTCGGCTTTGGTACAAGTCAGGAGCTTAAAGTATGATATGAAGTTGGGTTCAGAGCATGGCTTGTTCTGAAGCAGAGAGTCATAATATCCTAGTCTGAACACAATGGGAAACAGTGGTTAATTAGACACTCCCTGGTCTAACTGTGGGATGTGAAAGTGGAGGAGTGAATGGGATCCATGCACAAGCAAAACGTTTGTGCATATCTCAGCTGAATCACAACCAGGTCATTCTCTCTCAGCACAGGGTTGTTGTGAGAATAAAAAAGGGAGTCACGAGAAATTGAAACCTAAAGTACAAAACTGGTTTCAATATCACCAACTAATGGAGATCTTTAAACAGGACAGGAAAATTGGTTTTCAGGTGGAAAAATCAAAATTAGAGACTGAATTGCTAGAACCCAACACTAAGAATTTGTCAAGAATGTATAACTTGTTGCTGAAATGGAACACACAAGATGAAACAGTTAAATCAGCTATGATTAAGTGGGCACAGGACATTGGTCATAACATTATGTCTGCTGACTGGGAGTGGTTGTGGAACACCGGTATTAAATTCACGGCATGTAATGCCTTAAAGGAAAACATTATGAAAATGACTTACAGGTGGTACGTGACCCCAGTCAAGCTAGCAAAAATATACCATTTGCCTGATAACAAGTGTTGGAAATGTAAAGAGACTGAAGGTACTTTTTACCACCTTTGGTGGACATGCCCGAAGATCAAGGCTTTCTGGGAAATGATATATAATGAAATGAAAAAGGTACTTAAATGTACTTTCTCTAAAAAACCAGAGGCCTTTCTCCTGGGTATTGTCGGCCAATTGGTGTCAAAGAAGGACAGAACTTTCTTTATGTATGCTACAACAGCAGCAAGAATACTCATCGCAAAGTACTGGAAGACACAAGATCTACCCACCCTGGAAGAATGGCAGATGAAAGTGATGGACTATATGACATTGGCGGAGATGACTGGCAGAATCCGTGATCAGGGAAAAGAGACGGCGGAAGAAGAATGGAGAAAATTTAAAAGCTACCTTAAGGACTATTATAAACTTGATGAATGTTAGTATGTCGAGGTTTTTAAGAAAAAAGGGATACAGTGATATAAGATCAGATTATAGAAAAGACTAAGATGACAAAAGTTGGAAAGGAATATTTAGAAGTTGCTAAAAAATCGTGGACATTGGGATGCAGGAAGGGGGGGTATGGGGGAGTCCTGGAAAAGAGGTCTATGAAAAAATATTATGAAACTATACGTGTTTGTATGTCTTTTTGGTTGTTTGTTTGTCTTTAAAAATTTGTAAAACCAATAAAAATTTTATATAAAAAAAAAAGAGAATAAAAAAGGGGGATAATCATGCCTACTTTGGAGGAAAGGCAGGTTATGCAGGGTGTGTCTTTTAAAAGAGGCCCCATGGAACATGTGTACTCTGTACCCATGGGGCCTCTTTTAAAGGACTCACCCTGTACAGTCATACCTCGAGTTGAATGTGCTCCGTGACAGCCCGGAAGTAACGGTGTGCGTTATTTCCGGGTTTCGCCACTCGCGCATGTGCAGACGCTCAAAACGACATCACGCGCATGCGCAGGAGTGGCAAAACGCGGCCCGCGCACGTGCATGCGCGCTGTCGCATCTTGCGTTCCGTTCAGGATGCAAACGGGGCTCTGGAACAGATCCCGTTCACATCCCGAGGTACCACGGTAAAAAACCGCCGGTCCTCTTTTCATTTTTGCTTTCCTCCCATACCAAAAAGACCAAAGTTTCTGGCCTACAAAGAAAATGGTGCCCTTGCTTGAGCACTCAGAAGAATTTCCTTGAACATCTCTAAGGCTTTATGCGCCCTCTAATTGGAAAACACAAATCATATAAACTAAACAGTTTGTGACCTGGGGTAAACTATATTATTATTTTTGTGTGTGCAAAAGATGGCAAAATATGAAAGAAAAACAACACGCGATTGAAGTAAAGATGAAAGCTCCTTTATTGTTCTGGCAAGGTATGAAATATCCAATATGTAAAGTTTGAGCAAACTTCAAAAAAGATTCATGTTGCAAAAACTAAGGTGTTAAAACAGGAGGGGGAAATGGCAAATTGTTCCTGCATGAAAAGATTCTACAACTCCTTTCATTCTGAAATTACTTTGGCAAGTAATTCCGTGGATCAAAGCTGCATTCCACATATGCTCCTCCATTAATGAGGTGCTTGGAGTATAATTACTCATACCTTTTCCCTCTCTTAACAGCTGAGCGGAAGCGTTCTCTAGGCAAAGACTACCATCCCCTTTGTCTGAAGTGCTACCATTGCAAACGGCAGCTCAGCCCTGGCCAGCACGCTGAGGTAGGAAACAAACCATCACCCCATCTGTCTGCTTCAGTGACTTGCTACACCCTGACAGCAATCTGTCTCTCCCGGCGGAGGGCTCCGCTTCCAAAGGCCTGCCTGGGATTTAGTTGCTGCCACCAAAGGCTGCTTAGAAGTGCTTTAATGTGATGGCTGGGGAGACAGGAAGGAGGATGCACAGGCTATGGTTACTTGGAAACTAGGGAAATGCCTGTCAAGGGTACACGTGTGTGCAGAGGGTATATGTGTGTGCAGAGGGAAGATATTCCAAGGCTCCCGGTGTGTATGGGCATGCAATGGGTCTCCCTACAGAGGTGGGCGAATCGGTGAATTCCAGTCTCTCCTTTCTCCAATCTCAAATTGAGTTTGGCACATTTCCACAAATATTTGTTTTTTCAAAGGTCCTCAAATCAGATTCGTCTGCCACATCTCTTCTTAATGGACACACATTTCTGCCTAATATCCATGCTTTTGCAAGAAATTTCCCTTAATATTGCATGTTATGCTCACCAGCATGTGAATTTTTATGTAGACTTACCCATAATAAATGCATGCGTTCTCGAACAGATTTTTGGAAGTTTGACGAACTCCATCACAAAATTCGGATCGGTAAGAATTTTGAAGGACAGCTGTGCTTCATTTTGCAGTTTGTTTTAGGTACTGTGAATTAGGTAAAGGTAAAGGTAAAGGTAAAGGGACCCCTGACCATTAGGTCCAGTCGTGACCGACTCTGGGGTTGCGGCGCTCATCTCGCTTTACTGGCCAAGGGAGCCGGCATACAGCTTCCGGGTCATGTGGCCAGCATGACAAAGCCGTTTCTGGAGAACCAGAGCAGCACACGGAAACGCAGTTTACCTTCCCGCCAGAGCGGTACCTATTTATCTACTTGCACTTTGACGTGCTTTCGAACTGCTAGGTTGGCAGGAGCAGGGACTGAGCAACGGGAGCTCACCCCGTCTTGGGGATTCGAACTATCGACCTTCTGATCAGCAAGTCTTAGGCTCTGTGGTTTAACCCACAGTGCCACCCGTGTCCCTGTGAATTAGGTAGGTTTGCATTAAAATGTAGACCAAACAGAACTTCTCCCCCCATCCTTACCTCTGTACATAGGGACACAAGAAGCTGCCTCATAATGAGCCTGACGTGTAGTCCATCTCAGATTGGGGTCTCTGCCAGCCCTGCCTGTAGATGATTCTGGGACCTTCTGCACAAAGACATGATGTAAGCAGCCCCATAATTTCTTGTCAGGTTTAGCCCAGGCCATACAATTATGGCAGGTGGGTTTTGCCTCCTACTGTAGTTTATAGGAGAAAGAAAAGGATCACTCTGGGATCCCATCAGGGTGAAACCTAAGTCTGCCCTTTGACCCCCATCAATCACTAGTTGGCCATGACCAGTGCCTAGTATTGGAAGCAAGGAAGTTTCAAACAGGGATCTGTAATCCAGATTAAGATGCTTATACCTTCACTGCCAGCCCCTCTGCTTCCTGTTCATCACTGCTCACAGCTCGATCTTCTCTGACTTCTTCCCTTCCTGCCCTTCCTTCCCTCAAGGGAACCCCTGGTAAGGAAGCTTTTTGGCAGCCAAACAAGAACTTCTGTACCAACTCTGGACTTTCTACCTGGACCACTGAGGGCTTTATTCTTGAGGTCCAGAGAGTGAAAGAGGAGAACTTGAGATCTGAGGCAGGACTTGGGATGTCATTAGAGAAGTTATTGGGAAAGAGGGCCATTTGAGAAGTTCATGAGATGAGGTGCCTCAGGACTATAGCAGTAGTACTGAGGTTTTCACTGGGATCTATGACACGTTCAGAAGAGGTCTCCCTAGGGTTTATTCTGGTTGGGTAGGATCCTGACATCAGTACTGCGAGGGGGACCAAAGTGTTGTTCCCTCTTAAGTATGCACCAGATTGTGTCCTATTTCTTTTGTCTCATAAACAAAAGAAGCTGTTGAGTTTGGAGGTTGCCCCCATCTGCTTAGCCCCATCTTATCATTTCAGTCAGGAAGCCCCTTTCTTGCACAGAGACTAGCTAAAAGACTTGCCAAGTCTGACGGGTGGCGTATGGTACAGGGAACTACCCTTGGCCTCAGCAATTCCAAGATGAATCTCCAAGCACCATGACAATTCGAAAAAATGTCATATTGGCCATGGCATCAATGAAAAGAGAAAGGGTGCACAGACTGAGTTCCAATGAGTACAAGCTGCCTGCAAGACAACCCTAAACCATAGCTGTCAACTTACAGATTTGAAGATAAGGGACCAGCAGCCTTGAAAATAAGGGATCAGCAGCCAAAATAAGGGATTTTCCAAGCACAGGTATGTTCAACTTCTGAGCCCCTCCGAGCCAAAGGCAGAATGCCCAGCCAGCAGCCAAACGAAGCCTCAAGTGGTGGTTCCCACAGCGCAGCAACCCGGCAAAGGGGATGCAGCAAGGGAAACCACCGTCACCTCTCCGCTGGGAAGCGCTGAGCAAAGGCGAGTCCCCAGGCAACGCGGCCGATTTGATCGGCACAAGGCATGCAAGCTCCACCCCCCGTTGTTCTTAGACTCCTTAGTGGGTGAGCAACGCAGCCAAGCAACACAGTTGGAGCCTCCCTCCTCCCTGGCCAGCAGGGAGGGAGGGAGAGGAGCTGCTTCCTTTGAAACCCAGGAAATTTAAGGGACATCATCAATAAGGGACAGCAGCGGGACACAGCGCTGGGATAAGGGACTTTCCCACCAAATAAGGGACGATTGACAGCTATGCCCTAAACCAGTGTTCCTCAACCTGATGTGTGCTAGATATTTTGGTCTACAACACTTGACAGTCCTGGTCAGCATGGCCAATGGTCCGGGGTGATTGGAAGTGTAGTGCAAAATATATAGAGGGCACCAGGTTGGCCATGGCTGCTCTTAGTATCTTCTTTCTAAATTACCCGGTTGGGTTGGAGGCATAGACAGAGGAACATGGGAAGCCACATTACATCAAGTTGGTCATGGGTCCATTTAGCTCAATATTGTCAGCTCTGACTGGCAGTGGCTCTCCAGGGTTTCAGACAGGGAGTCTTACTGTGATGGCCTGGGAATCTGATTCAGAGGCTGAACCAGAGGAATCCCAGCCTGCACAGGAGTCCCTGCCTCCAGGGCCGGCTGAGCCGGGGCAGGGGCTTGAACCTGAAGGGCCCTCACCTGTGCCGGATCCTCAGGAGCAGACACCAGCTGAATCTGCTCTGGCTCCTGAGGTGATGGAGGACCCATTGCCTGCAGGTGCTCCTCTCCCAGCCCTGTCAGGGGTGAGGTTGCCTCTGGGTCTGGTAACCCTCCAGCCTCTCCTGAGGTGCAGAGGCTCAGGGCAGAGAGGCGGAGGGAACTAAGTGCTCAAAGGAGGAGTGCTCGCCTTAAGGCCAGGAGAGGCGAGTCACCTGTGGGCCGGGACTGCCCCTCAGAGGAGATAAAGGCCAGTCAGCCCAGTCCCAGGTTGCGGGAGCAACATCGCTGGTAACCTGTTCCTGCCAGCACCCTGACCTGCTCTCCTGAGTTCCTGACCACGCCCGACTCCTCGCTTTGGACCTCGCTTCGCCCCTGACGGACAGCCTCCTTACCCTCGACCTAGGACCGGACTTAGACCACTCCGCACGGTAACACCCCCCCCCCCCGGGACCAGCACACTTACCCACCTCAACCAGGGGATGTTACGGATTGAACCTGGGACCTCTTCCTGCAGTCATTGCAGCAGACACGGGTCAGTGATAACATTATGTAGTTCAGACGCAACTGACTTGGAGACATCTGTGCAGAAATTTTAGTCGAGCAGTAAAGTATTATCTCTAAATCACTAGAAGTCAGGAGGGTAGATAACGACCAAGAAACATTCTCATTCCGATTCGGGAAAGGGACCTGCGGAGCAATGGCTTTCCTGTGCTCAGTAATGGAAAAGAGAATCGATTCTAATACGGTTCTTCCAGGGCAAGCCCAAAGCAAGAGATTTCAGCTTACCATCGCTGCAAAGTGGTTTCCCGAAGAATGTCTGATCCAGTTTTGTTGCATTAAATCAAGTTATCTTCATGGGGATGTATGAAAAATTCATTGTATATGGAACAGCACTAATATTTGCACAGCATGTGCCATAGGATGAGGGGGAAAATACTGAGAATCTTTTCAGCCACATTTGAAATCCTTGGGGGAATCAAGTCATGCAGCATAAAAACTTACATTTGCAGGATCATTTCCCGACATTGTATACCCTCCCCCCCCCGAATTTTTTTCTGCACCATTGAGCTCTAGATTTAAAAAATACAGGCCTACTATACATGATCTAACAAGCATCATTTTGTTTAGAGAGGTCTGAGGATGCACAAAGTGCACAAGATGGTTCTCTTCACTACAATTGTTTCTTACATTAGTCTTTTTAATATGCTGGTGTTGGCAGTATGGGGCTTGGTAAGGAATGTCCAAGAGGGACGCAGGTGGTGCTGTGGTCTAAACCAGTGTTTCCCAACCTTGTGCCTCCAGCCGTTTTTGGCCTACAATTCCCATCATCCCTTGCCACTGGTCTTGCTAGTCAGGGATGATGGGAGTTGTAGGCCAAAAACATCTGGAGGCACAAGGTTGGGAAACACTGGTCTAAACCACTGAGCCTCTTGGGCTTGCCGATCAGAAGGCTGGCGGTTTGAATCCTCGTGACGGGGTGAGCTCCCGTTGCTCTGTCCCAGCTCCTGCCAACCTAGCAGTTCAAAAGCACGCCCAAAAAGTGCAAGTAGATAAATAGGTATCACTGTGGTGGGAAGGTAAACAGCATTTCCATGCCCTGCTCTGGTTTCGCCAGAAGTGGCTTAGTCATGCTGGCCACATGACCGGAAAAAATTTCTGCAGACAAATGTCGGCTCCCTCAGCCAGTAAAGCAAGATGAGCGTCGCAACCCCAGAGGAGTCTGCGACTGGACTTAACTCTCAGGGGTCCTTTACCTTTACCTTTAAGGAATGACCAGGATTCAAAGAGGTCTGTGCCCATTCCCAAAGAAGGTTAATAAGTTTGCAGGATTTTACTAATTTTGCTTCCACTGCAGAAGCCTCTTGTGTTGTCTTGGTTGCTGACCTTTGTGAATTGTTTGGGAGAAATTATTCCTTTCAACCTGCTATTTGTATCCAGAAGAAATCCCCTATGGGCACCCAGTGGAAGATTTCTTCCCAAAACAAAAAGCACTTTCAGAGAAGGGGAGGGGGAGGGGAGGGTTGAACTTCCCTGCCCTCCAGCCGACATCCCACTAATGATCAGCACGCACCCCCCAAAAAACCATTTGTGTTAATTAGGGATGGAAGGTTCTATCATTTTGGTTCTCTCAGTTTCTCATTTTCCCTATCTTAAATTCCGTTCTCCACATTTTGCAGCAATTTGCGAATTTTTCATTTGTAAAATCCTCATGAAAATCCATCTGTGTGATTTTCTCCTAACAAATATATTTTATATGCTGTTATGATGGAAGTGCACATTTTTTTGCAAGCAATTCCTCCCAATATAACACATTTTTGTATGCTATTTTTCACCAATATGTTCACTTTTATGCACCTTTTCCCTCAGTATATGCATTTTTGTGAACCTTCGCTGGTTGGGGAATCGCATCCCAAAATCTGGATGAGCGCAAATTTCAAAGGATGGCTGTTCTGCAGCTGACATGTTCTTTCAGAACGGCAGTGCAAAATTTGGATGAGTGCAAATGTTAAAAGATACATAGCTGTGTTTCAGTTCTCATATTGCTCTGGAAACTGCAAAGGTTAACACCATGGCTGGTTTAGGTCAGTGCAGGGAAAGAGCCTTGTTTGAGGCCCTGGAGAGCCAGTCACAGTAGATAACAAGAGTCTGCATCAGTCTGATGTAACGTATCCTCGTATGCCTTGTCTCACAGGGTGGGGAGAGCAAGGCCAAAATTTCACACACACACACACACACACACACACACACACACACCACCCTCATGTTAACTTTCCAAAGCCAGTTAAGTGAGGCACTGGTTTTTGGGAAGGAGGCACGATGCTCTTGCATGATCCTAGAGCCCTCTCACCTTCTTCCCAAAGCTGGGCAAGCTCTAACTAGGCTTTGGGAAGGTGGTGAGAGGACTCTAGGACCCCGTCAGAGCCCTCACACCTCCTTCCTAAAATCCAGCACCTCCCTTACCTGGCTTTGAGACTGTCTTAATTGACTCAGCCTTGTAGAATATTGCATAATTATATAGTGCTGTTGAGCATGTGAAGAGTGCCTCTTCCTCACCATTGTGGGAAATCTGAGACATAATCTGGGATGAAGAGGCAAGCTTGCAGGCTGCTCAGATCTTATTACTTCAAGTCAGGCTTCAGTCCTGGCTATTCTCCATTTATAAATTAACCGCTACATGCTGCCGGTGGAGGTACCATTCTAGTGAACAGAGTGTGACATGTCAATGAGCATCCAAGTCAGGCTGCCCCAAGGCATTCCAGCTTTGGAGAACAGGCTGACCTATGGGTGGGGTTGCTCTGCAGGCACCCAAAGAGCATTTCTGATGTCATCATTGGCCATGCTAAGTGCAGACTAGGGATGAAAGGACCTGTCAATCTTGGTTCTCTCGGTTTCTCATTTTTTCATACCTCAACTGTAGGTAAAAGGTAAAGGTACCCCTGCCCGTACGGGCCAGTCTTGACAGACTCTGGGGTTGTGCACCCATCTCACTCAAGAGGCCAGGGGCCAGCGCTGTCCGGAGACACTTCTGGGTCACGTGGCCAGCGTGACAAGCTGCATCTGGCGAGCCAGCGCAGCACACGGAAACGCCGTTTACCTTCCCGTCAGTAAGCGGTCCCTATTTATCTACTTGCACCCGGGGGTGCTTTCGAACTGCTAGGTTGGCAGGCGCTGGGACCGAACGACGGGAGCGCACCCCACCGCGGGGATTCGAACCGCCGACCTTTCGATCGGCAAGCCCTAGGCGCTGAGGCTTTTACCCACAGCGCCACCCACGTCCCTCAACTGTAGTTTGCCATAATTCCATAGCAATTTGCAATTTAAGAAAAAAATCATGGAAGTTCACCAGCATTTTCATTTCAATATTCTCCTAAAAAACATTTTGGTATGCAGTTTTGATAAATGCAATTTTGCAAGCAACTCCTCCTAATATAATGCAACATAACGCAACTTTCCCTGATATATTCATTTTCATGTGCACATTCCCCTAATATATGCAACCTTCGCTGGCTGAAGAACGGCACCACAAAATCTGGATAAGTGCAAATTTCAAAGGATGCCTATCAAGTGCAAACTTGATAGGTTCATGACCTCCAACATTTCTCCGATGAAATTAGGGACGTCCCATTCCATAATGATATTTATACCCCACACATTTTACTGGGCTGCCCCAGCCACTCTGGGCAGCTTCCAACAAATATAAAAACATAATAAAAATAAAATAAATCCTATACAGGATTCTATACGAGCCCTAAATCCTATACGAGCCTTCAGATGGCTCGGGGGTTGGATAACCCCACACCCTCCAATATTTCTCCAATGAAAATAGGGACATCCTAAGGAAAAGCGGGACATTCCAGGATCAAATCAGAAACTGGGATGGCTTCTCTAAATTAGAGAAAATAGGAAGACTTGGAGGGTCTGTAGGTTAACCTTTAAATGTGACCTGTATCACATTTCTTCCCTGTCCCTGGTGCAGAACAAGCCCTTCTTTGAATAAAAAGCAAAGCGAAGTATGGAATAATGGCAAGTTATTAACTATGATCTCTCAGTGAAGGCTGTGAGAACTTCCCACACTCCATTCTGCCATTAAGCCCTCATCCTGCCCTCCTGTGTAACAGCCATGTGTTTTACTCTGCATGATCACACCCACATCTTTGCCAGAGTTTAAATCCCATTAACAGGAACATTTGGGGGAGGCATAATGACATGCATTGTAATAGCTTTAGAGTCAAGGTATGTTTTGAATGATTGGGGGGGGGGGACATTAATAATATGAAAGGGTAGGGGGCTGTCTCTTCTACTCATTGACTGTTAGAAGGGTCCTACTGCATATACCTCGTGCAGATGCTATAAATAATTTTCTATTAGCACCTGGCTTAAGGTTAATAGTTAGGCTTCAAGGAGAAAATGACCTGGCTGGATTTAAACATTTCTGGGGTAGCAACAGGCTATCCAAACTTGCAAAGCAATTTTCAGCGGGTATTGAGTTATTGAAAGGGAGAGAAATAATTCCATATGCAATGTGTATCTTATATGTAACATTTTCAATTAAATTGATTTATAAGAACGTAGGGAGTTGCCTAAAACAGAACCAGAGCCACAGCCCATTTTGTCTATAGCAGACTTTAGGCTTGTCAGATCCCAGGGTTCTAGTAAAACAGAAACCAAAACCAGAAAGGATCTGCCAATTAGAGACAGGTGTAAAAGGCATGTTGTCCATCTCGAGAGACAATGGAGTGCACCTCCGGGGGTGAAGTCAAACCACTGTGTTAGCAGCTCCAAAGTGACCTTCCATGGTGTGCAAGCCTGGGCAATGTGTGTGGAGGTCCTGGGCTGCAAAGACAGCAAGAATTCCCTCTCCGCTTCGCTGATGTTGTCCAAAGGGAAGCAGAGCAATATATTGGCACCAGCTTGGCTGCAGGAGTTGCAGGAAGGAGGTGTACACGGCACCATCCAACCATCTTAGGGACACCATCTGTGTAGGGTTTCCTCCTTACCTTTCCCTTCTCCCGAAGATATCCTTCAAGGCAGCAGAAGCACACACACAGTTCCATTTTATATTATCACTGTCACTGTCAGAAGCTCCCATGCAGAAAACTGCTGAACTTCGGATAACATTCAGCTTGACATCTTTTCTCTCTCGGCTTTAAATCTCGGCTCTAAATCAACATCTTTCATAAAGCCTTTCTTAAATCACCAGGGATTCACCTGTTCTGTGTTAATTTCGCTCCTGCCTTCACATCTGATACATCTAGGGATGCCTGAGGAATTAAATTTCTGTGAATTCCAGTGTGAACTAACCTGATGCCGCACCTCCTGGACTAGTGTGCAGATCAGAATGTAATTATCCTTCAGATTGTGCACCCCTCCAAATCTTGTGACGCTGTTCGCAGTTTTTTTAAAAAAGGTATTAAAATGCATATTTTACTATAAAATGCATTTAGAAATGCATACACTGAGATGAAATATGGATTTAAGTGTGGATTTTTTTATTTAAAAAGTGCAGATTAATGCAGAAACGGGACGGAACAGACTTATGAATCAACACATAGGAAAATGACATAAGCTCGAAATAGGCTGGTATGCCCATTCCTAGGCAACTTTGCATAATGGTTCCCACCCACGCGATAGGAAGTTGCAAGGGCAGCCTGTTGCAGTCTAGTGAGGAGTTATGGTGCCTTTTATAACTAGCTATTTATTCACAAATGTACAGGCCAAGGTGACGCAAATCACGCATGTGCCCTGGTATAATTAGTCCCAACCATATCAGTCTACCTCCCCAGTATCCCACAATTTCCTGCGTCTTAGCAATATTGCTGGAACAGTTCCAAGTCTTGAGCTGCTTTGACCCTCTGTTGCTGGCAATCAAATACTAAAAGCATTCTTCCAGCCCAGGTGGGTTTGAGCAGCCAGTGGCCAACCGGGAACCAGGATCCTATCACCTTCCAGCAAGTTCCCATCAAGGGGGGGGGGGCAGCAACCTCCGCATCAGGCTGTGTCTTGTACAATAGCCTGCGTGGCATTAGCGACATGTAAGTGCCCTTAGCAAATCTGGGAGAACTAATCTTTCTTCTGTTCTACTTTCACAGCATGACGACAAACCTTACTGCACCCACTGCTACCTTCAGCGCTTTGGACCCAGAGGTAAACTCCTATCCCATTAACCAGTTGTCCTGCACTCGCAGAGAAGAGCTACAATTCTCAGAGTCAATTCCTCTTCACAGAGAACTCTGGCAATTGTATCTTTGGGAAGGGAATTGGGCTCTCCTAACAACTCTTAAACCACAGAGCCTAGGACTTGCCAATCAAAAGGTCGGGGGTTCGAATCCCCACGATGGGGTGAGCTCCCGTTGCTCGGTCCCTGCTCCTGCCAACCTAGCAGTTCGAAAGTACATCAAAGTGCAAGTAGATAAATAGGCACCGCTCCGGCAGGAAGGTAAACGGCGTTGGCCTGGAGGCGAGCACTTCTCCTGAGGGGACTTAGTTCCCTCCGCCTCTCTGCCCTGAGCCTCTGCAGCTCAGAAGAGGCTGGAGGGTTACCGGACCCAGAGGCAACCTCAGCTTCCCCTAACGGGGCTGAGAGTGGAGCACCTGCAGGCAATGGGTCCTCCATCCCCTCAGGGGCCAGAGCAGCCTCAGCTGGTGCCTGCACCTGAGGATCCAGCACAGGTGAGGACCCTTCAGGCTCAAGCCCCAGCCCCAGCTCAGCTGGTTCTGGAGGCGGGGACTCCTGTGCAGGCTGGGATTCCTCAGGTTCAGCCTCCGAGTCCGAATCCCAGGCCATCACACATGGGCAGCACGGGCATATATGCTCCGTCGCCGTGCTATTTTCCTCTCATATATTCCTTGAGAGAGAGCAAGGAGGTTGTGTGAAGACCCGCCATGCAATGATGTTCTGTCTTCCATTGAACTAGCTGCATGTAACTCTTGATGATGACGTGCAATTCCCAGCTGAGGTAACTTGTGCAAACTAGAGCTGGGTCAGGGCAAAGAGAAAACACAACACCAAATTAAATCCACAATCTTCCTGCAACGAGTCATTTGGGATTTTCTCAGAACGACCGTCAGAGAGACCTGCCAGCAATTTGTGCTTGTGGTATGATTCAGGTGACCGGGCCATCGCATACCCACGCCAGATGGAAAGATTGGCTTGCACAGATTGAAATAAACCCCCATTTATCTTTGCATCATCAACTCCCCTGCCAAACAGACTATATAGGACTTTTCTTGAAAGATACTACTATACATTTAAAGTGCATGACTACCCCTAAAGAAAGGGACGCGGGTGGCGCTGTGGGACCTGACATCTTTCTGCAGGGCCTGGAAGACAGAGTTGTTCCACCAGGCCTTTGGTCAAGGCGCAGCCTGACTCCCTCCTCTGGCAACCTGCACAGAATTTTGCTTAATGGTTGCCATCAACTTGATTTTAATTAATTTTTATAATGAAATATTTTTAGAATGTTGGATTATTTGATTGTTTGATTATTTGATTGTTGTTAGCCGCCCTGAGCCCGGCTTCGGCTGGGGAGGGCGGGATATAAATAAAATTTATTATTATTATTATTAAACCACAGAGCCTAGGACTTGCCAATCAGAAGGTCGGCGGTTCGAATCCCCGCGACGGGGTGAGCTCCCCTTCCTCGGTCCCTGCTCCTGCCAACCTAGCAGTTCGAAAGCACATCAAAGTGCAAGTAGATAAATAGGCAGGAAGGTAAACGGCGTTTCCGTGTGCTGCTCTGGTTTCGCCAGAAGTGGCTTAGTCCTGCTGGCCACATGACCCGGAAGCTGTACGCCGGCTCCCTCAGCCAGTAAGGCGAGATGAGTGTAGCAGGCCCAAAGCCATCCGCAACTGGACCTAATGGTCAGGGGTCCCTTTACCTTTACCCCTAAAGAATCCTGGGAACGTTTTTGTTAAGGGTGCTGGGAGTCGTAGCTCCGTGAGGGTGTGAACCACAGTTCCCAGGACAAAATGTGCTTTGAGGTATTGTATGTACACAGCCTATAAACCACTCAGTGTTTTAATCTGTCCCTAGCTGCTTCCGTGAAAGTTCAGCCTCTTGCTTCAGGGAAACTTTTGGGGTGTGTAGCAAGAAAAAGGCTCTTGGTTTCACTTGCCTCAGCTTGGCCAGAAGCCAGCCTTCGCTCTGTGCCTGGCATCTGGCATAAAGGGGTGAGAAAGGTGAAAAGGAATGAGCTGCTAATTCCCTCTCCCTTCCTACACGGTGGGCCTGCCACTTAGTCAGCAAGCCTTTTCCTCGCTGCAGCCAAGTGGAACATAATACCATATGTTGCTCTCCAATTATGGCGGTGGGAGAGCCCAGCTCTCTCTCAGGAGGGAAGAGGGAAGAGGTCTAGAGCAGTTCCGTTCTTCTGCTTGGTATCCATCTGGAGCAGGATGCAGGGGCAGGAAAGACACTCCGATGACCCGATAGGTAAACTGCTGTGTATGTAACACACCTTTTTTTCCTTTAATACCTTGGTAAATCCTTTTAGGGATTTACCATTGTTGAGGGACGCGGGTGTCGCTGTGGGTTAAACCACAGAGCCTAGGACTTGCCGATAAGAAGGTCGGCAGTTCGAATCCCCACGACAGGGTGAGCTCCCGTTGCTCGGTCCCTGCTCCTGCCAACCTAGCAGTTTGAAAGCACGTCAAAGTGCAAGTAGATCAATAGGTACCGCTCCGGCGGGAAGGTAAATGGTGTTTCCGTGCACTGCTCTGGTTCTCCAAAAGTGGCTTAGTCATGCTGGCCACATGACCCGGAAGCTGTACGCCGGCTCCCTCGGCCAATAAAGCGAGATGAGCACCGCAACCCCAGAGTCGGCCACCACTGGACTTAATGGTCAGGGGTCCCTTTTTGTTGTTGTTTAGTCGTTTAGTCGTGTCCGACTCTTCGTGACCCCATGGACCAGAGCACGCCAGGCACTCCTGTCTTCCACCGCCTCCCGCAGTTTGGTCAGGCTCATGTTTGTAGCTTCGAGAACACTATCCAACCATCTCATCCTCTGTCGTCCCCTTCTCCTTGTGCCCTCCATCTTTCCCAACATTAGGGTCTTTTCCAGGGAGTCTTCTCTTCTCATGAGGTGGCCAAAGTATTGGAGCCTCAACTTCACGATCTGTCCTTCCAGTGAGCACTCAGGTCTGATTTCCTTAAGAATGGATGCGTTTGATCTTCTTGCAGTCCATGGGACTCTCAAGAGTCTCCTCCAGCACCATAATTCAAAAGAATCAATTTTTCGGCGATCAGCCTTCTTTATGGTCCAGCTCTCACTTCCATACATCACTACCGGGAAAACCATGGCTTTAACTATACGGACCTTTGTTGGTAAGGTGATGTCTCTACTTTTTAAGGTGTTGTCTAGATTTGCCATCGCCTTTCTCCCAAGGAGCAGGCGTCTTTTAATTTCGTGACTGCTGTCACCATCTGCAGTGATCATGGAGCCCAAGAAAATAAAATCTCTCACTGCCTCCATTTCTTCCCCTTCTATTTGCCAGGAGGTGATGGGACCAGTGGCCATGATCTTCGTTTTTTTGATGTTGAGCTTCAGACCATATTTTGCGCTCTCCTCTTTCACCCTCATTAAAAGGTTCTTTAAGTCCTCCTCACTTTCTGCCATCAAGGTTGTGTTAAATCCTTTTAAGAACCTGATTCTGGCTTCTTGAAAAGAGTCAAGTTTGGCATCTGATCATTCAGAATATGGTGGAACAGTGAGAATAAACATAGAAGGGCCTGGAGTGAGTTTCATTTAATCGTATGATAAACCTAAATTATCTTGGGCCCTTTTATACTGTCTTTGTCATCATTGTTTCAGAATTAGGTCCTTCTACTTTCTGCTCTCCATGACCCCTGGCTGGGTTTGCATCCAGGTTTCTAAAGCAGCAAATTAAATTTTCAAGTACTTGGATTAGCATGCACATTTGTAATGCCTAGGTCTGGATTTTGATCTTGTGTTCAAGGTCAAGGCTTGTTTCATGGTTGAAATATTTATACCCCTTCTCTCAATTGCTATTTTTGTGTCAGCTATGTGAGGTTGGTTGCATTGACTTCAGAGATCATAGATGTCTGTTCAGGGTCATTATCCTGAGTTAACAACCCTTGTTTAAACAAGACAGACGCCTCCTTTGGGTTGCTGCTGAGGTCCATTTGCTTCCAATCTTGATTCATTGTGTTCCTGCACTAAGTTCTGAACTCCATCCAGCATATCAGACCAATATAGGAAGCTGTGTTACATTAAATCATACCATTGGTTCATCTAGCTGTCAGTCAGACAGTAGCTCTCTAAGGTTTCTGACAGAGGTTTCTCCCATTCCTACCTGGAGACAGGTAAACTGAATTTGGGGCCTTCTCATGCAAAGCTCCACCACTGAGCTACAGCCCAACATCTGTTGAACATCAAGTGGTAGAACTGTTCCTGGACTGTGTTATTTCTGGCTGCAAGTGGGGACTGCATTACTGCATTCTTTTATTTAAAAACTCCCTGCACATAGAAAGCTAAGTAATAAGTATTCTTGCCCATCTTCCTCCTTGAATTGAAAACCTACACCTGCAGGCTGAAGTAATGGTTTTCAGGATCACTGAGTGCGGTCCATGTGGTGGGCTGTTTGCTAAAGAGCCTTGAGATTCAGTGTTCCACCATACCTGTATACAGGATGTTCTCTTTATCTATCTTGGCTAATGCCTGTTGATAGACCTGTTCTCTGTTAATTTGTCTAATTTTCTCACAGTGCAGCATACACACATTAAATACCAGTATATATTATACATAAATTCCTCAGATTCCAATGTGCCAAATAGACAAAACAATAACTAGACCTATTTTACAAAATCACCCCCCCCAAATGAATCAAGACAGTGAGCCAATTTTCATTTACTGGGTCTTGGTGTTTGCACTGTTTCACGGGGACGATCACTGTGTGCTTGGATTACACTCATTGGCCGAAACATCCTGCCTCAGTCTTAGGCTACTTATATTGGCACAATGTATAACATTATGCAACGTGAGCATAATCCTTTGCAGTCTCCCATAGGTGTATAGACCGGGATCAGATTGTGGCTTCATATGTCAAACGATATAAATAATACTGGAGCTTATGTTCATTTCGGTTTCTCGTGAGACCTGGAAGTTCAGCTGAGTCCAGGTTTTAATTGAACACTTTGGCAATGCTTCTGCAAAACTCTGAGCAGGTTTAATTTCCTGGCAGGAGAAATCTTTGATAAGGATTTCAAAGGAAGAGCTGCAGATTAGGCTTGCGCACCATGTTCTACAGCATGCATCTGTGTTTTTAATTATCCGACTTTTGAATGTGAGTTTTGCTTTATGGAGAGAGAGAGAGAGAGAGAGAGAGAGAGAGAAATACGATTTTTCTCCCACAACGTTTTCTAAAATGTTTTATTTTTAATTTGCAAAGGAACAAGACCATCATCAACCACCCGCTCATCCTTTGGGGCATCGCCTTCTCCTAAGGTTCCAGCAGAAATCCGAAAGGGCTCATAGATGTCTTTCCCTGCTTATGCTGTAGAAGTAGCAATTTATAAAGCGATGTCAGCTGAAAAAGGGTGTTGCTTGAACATAACTAATAATCCTAAACAAGGTCAGACAGCTTCCGTAATAGAGTTCACCCTACCTCTGGTTAACATAGCAGCTGTGATAAATATATTGTAGCAGGTTAATAGTGAACATTGTTGAAATGTAGAAATGCTTGCAAAGCATCTGTCGCTTTATTTAGACTAAGATATGCGCCTATTTTGTATATGTTGGTACTGAATAATAAAGCACTTGTGAACACCTGCATTTTGCAGTTTTCTGTCCTTCATTTAGCAAAGCATTATGTAAGCCAGGGAAACCAAAAGTTGAATTAATGTCCTCATTACAGACCCACAACCAAAGATATACTGTAATTGAACTGGCTCAACATCATAAGCAACACAAACTGTCACTTAGAAATATTCAGAGGGACAGCAGTGAAACCCTGTGCGAATTAGAAGTATCTCACACAAACAGCCACTTCAGATTTGCAAATGAGTCTTTCATTCGTTGATGTAATAAAATATATGCTAGGGGCTCAAACAATGACTCTCAAAATAATCATATGCTCCAGCATTTCATTTTGCAAAACTGGAAGCTCTGTCACACCTTGACCACTTCTTGATACTAAGATATGGGTCGAGTGAATGCGGTTTGAACTTTTGTGTTTATTCGACACAGATGTGGGCCAGTGATGTGTTTATGTGGTGACTTCAACAGAGATGTGGAATAGGGAGAAGTACAGAACAGCTGGTGGAAAAGTACATGTGGCCAAAGGAACATTTTGATTGCTGCAAGCAATACAGGCAGTGTTATCTGCACAGCCATGCCTAGCTTGTGTGGGACAGATATGCAGTCCAAAATAGCTCAAAATAGCTCAACCGAGACACACACAGCAGCCTTCGCAACTCCTGTGAGAGTATTCTGCCCATCTTCATCTTGAGAAACCACCTGCAAGACTGAGAGTTAGTGAGAATTGTAAAAAGCAAGCCTGCCCCACAATGTCTTCAGTGAGACAACCACAAGCTGAACTGAGCAATAGATAACAGAAACAACAAGATCAGCAACTGCCCTGCCTAGTGTGAGCAAGGTAAATATTACTCTTTCCAAAATCATAGAATTATTGAGTTGGAAGGGACACCAAGAGTCATCTAGTCCAATGCCCCTGCAATGCAGGAATCTCAACTAAAGCATCCATGACAGGTGGCCATCCAGCCTCTGCTTAAAAGAGCTTACTGTCTCTCATGGGAGTCTGTTCCACTGTCAAACAGCTCTTACCACCAGAAAGTTCTTCTGATGTTTTTTCAACATCTCTTCTCTTGTAAAGTTGAAGCGATTGGTTTGAGTCCTACCCTCCAAAGCAGGAGAAAACAAGCTTGCTCCATCTTCCATGTGATAGACCTTTAAATACTTGAAGATGGCTATCCCCTCTTTTCTAGGCCAAACATACCCAGCTCCTTCAATCATTCCTCATAAGGCTTAGTCTCCTGACTCTTGATCACCTTGGTTGCCCTCCTCTGCACACGTTCCAGCTTTTCAACATCTTTCCTAACTTGTGGCAGCCAGAAATGGACACAGTACTCCAAGTGTGGTCTGATCAAAGCAGAATAGAGTGGTACTATTACATCTCTTGATCTGGACACTATATTTCTGTTGACACAGCCTAGAATAGCACTAGCTTTTTTTTGCTGCTGCATCACACCGTTGGCATGCTAAGCTTGTGGTCTACTACAACCCCTAGATCCTTTCCACATGTACTACTGGCAAACTAGCGATTCACCCATCCTATATTTGTGCAGCTGGTCTTCCTGCCTATATCCTTTTGTCAATCTTGTTTCCACTTTCCCTAATCAGCCTTCCTAGTTACCCAAAAGTACACATCTGGACCTTCCCTCAACCATATGGCCTTCTGAAAATGTGTGGTGCTCAGTTTTCAGACCTGTAAGATGCATGGCTTTGGATGTTTCCGTGGCTCATATTTGAGACAAGTACCTGCTGGGCTAGGGACAGAGGAAAGTAAATACCACAACTGCTTACAAAATATTCATAATAGGTTTTTAAATGGATCCTTCAAGACACTGTAAAAACACCGTGAAATATTAAAGCTGTTGTTATCGCTTCTGTAACCATAATGGCTAAATTATGACACACCATAACTTGTGGGGGGAATTATTGAAAGCATTCTTCTAAGGTGCTATTCTTCAAGGAGAGAATCTATTATGGTGACACAATAATTTTCTGTGGGTAATTTACTTCAGTGATTAAACAACAGTAATTTATTTTATTGTGGAGTGTACCTGGGGTTGAGCCAAGCCACAAAACCTGCCAGCAAGTCAGTCAACTGAGCCTAAAGGAGCAGGAGTACGAGCAGTACATTTTTACAAAATAAGTAATTAGGTTTTCACTGTCACACCTAGAAGCTGCATGGAAGTGAACAGGACTGGTCTTCAGTTTCAGCTGAAATTGCAAGCTCACCTGCAGTAGACCTGGAAGCATCATCTCAAACGTGGGCTAACTCCTTGTAATAATGAACACAGGAAGGTAAACAAAACAGGCCCCCTGAGAATGAAGGAGAATGTATCAGAATGCTCAGAAGAACCCCAAGGTTTGCAGAAGTACCAAAACAAAAACAAAACCCCAACCCATTTTTTTATTAAATTAAAAAAGAACTAAGGTGGCAAGAAAAAATATCCCCCCAAAACCCTTCTCAGTGAGGACTAGAATGTTGTGAGCCTGTTGAAAACCAAACATAAAACAGAGGGGGTAAAATGCCCTGGCTGGAACAGGAGCACTCCTGTAAGGATGGAAGGAGGATATACTGCAACATTTTATTGCATTACAAAAAGAGAGAGATTTGCACAACTATTGCACATGCTGATTTACAGTGGTACCTCAGGCTATAGACGCTACAGGTTACAGACTCCGCTAACCCAGAAATAGTACCTCAGGTTAAGAACTTTGCTTCAGGATGAGAACAGAAATCGTGCTCTGGCGGTGTGGTGGCAGCAGCAAGAGGCCCCATTGGCTAAAGTGGTACCTCAGGTTAAGAACAGTTTCAGGTTAAGAACGGACCTCCAGAATGAATTAAGTTCTTAACCCGAGGTACCACTGTATACTGTATGTAATGTAAGTGCAACAGAAGGTGTTCCACTTTTTGTTTTGAAATACCTTGAGAATTTCATCAAAAAATTTCTCTCCTGTATGATCATTTTAAAAAGTGTTTTCTTTGCTCGTTGATTGGTGAGAAAGTGTAAGATGTTTTCAGTACAGCGCTACGTTTAACAGCAAACACTTGTTTTAACTTCTCCTTTCCATCTCACTCCTTCTACAGCGCTACAAGTTACAGAGGATGGGAGATCCACTTCTTATGTCACCTGCTAAAAGGAAGAATGGCTTGTGCTCATGGCTCAAAACGGGTTGTACGGAAAGGTGGGATGCAATTTCGCTCTTTTTAGATGGTTCTTGAGCCATTCCACTTGTCAATGGATGTCAGAAAATCCCAGGATGTTGTACAGAGCAGAGTTAAGCAGCGTTGGGTTTTTTGGGTTTGCTTTTTTTTAAAGTCAGTCCATCCAGGTCAGGGCCTCTTGTTGAAGTGAGAGGGGCAAACACTTGCAAGGATGGCTGTTTGTTACCTTCAGCAGTTGAAAAGCCAAACCCAAAAGAGTTTGTGTTGAGCTTAAATCTTGGAAGGAAGGAGGTGGCTGTCCAGCCAAGCGCTTGCCTGCTTGCTGCACAACTGCCATTACCTGGTCAGGGCTAGAAGGTGGAAATAGGCCCCCTACAGCAGTGTTTCCCAACCGGTGTTCCGGCACACTAGTGCCGAGACGTTGCCTGGTGTGCCGCGAGATGTTGCCTGGAGGGAGGCGGGCGAGTCGGCCTGCCTGGCTGCCTGCGTGGCGCTGACGTCACGGGGCTGTAACGTGCCCCACATAGGCACACGCGGGGCGGCGAGCGAGCGAGCTCCCACATCCCATCACCGCTTGCTTTGGCCGGCCTACTGGGCTGTTGCAGGCAGAAGGCCTGCGCATGCGCGAGGTTTTCGCGCCTTCGGGATTCCCTTCACGCCTTCCTCCTCCCGGGTCCTTGAGAGCGCGGGAAGCGGCAGCGCGAGACCGGCGTTGAGCCTGGTAGGTATTGCGCTTGCCAAGGCAGTCATTTGGGAAATGAAAACTTGCAAAGCAAGCAACCAGTTCAATCTGAAGTACGTGTATGCTTAATATCCTGTATCTGAAACCTGTTCTGCCCCCTCCCCCACAAGGTAAACGGCATTTCCGTGCGCTGCTCTGGTTCACCAGAAGCGGCTTAGTCATGTGGCCACATGACCCAGAAGCTGTACGCCGGCTCCCTCGGCCAATAAAGCGAGATGAGCGCCGCAACCCCAGAGTCGGTCACGACTGGACCTAATGGTCAGGGGTCCCTTTACCTTTACCTTACAGTAATGCTGTTCTTTTCATGGTAAGAAAAACTGACTAATTTCAAAATACGAAAGTACTAATTCAACTTTCTTAACAAGCAGTTCAGAGGGATATAAAAACAGTCAGCGGACCACGGGCTAAATGGAGTCTGGACAAATTTGAAAGGAAATCGTCCCATTCCTTCCACCATCACCTTTGAACACTGCTTAAACCTGTCTCCCTTGTGCAGTATAAGACTCAGCAGCCAAGCAATTCGTTTTAACAAGGAATGTTTTGCCGTGTTAACAAGATTAGGGGAAAGGAGCGCTGAAATGACACTTGCCCTTCCTTGATTTCTAAACCCATAGAACATCTGCTCAGGAACATCTGCTCCTCAAGCTATTTCCTCATCTGGTTTCGATCAAAGCACCTCCTTTCTATGTCTTGCTTATATTGTACGTTGCACACGCCTCATATCTCTGAGCGATGATAAGTTCCAGGGGTGGTGCTGCAGAGTTTAGTTTCCTTTGGATGAGAAAGAACACCAGAGTCTTGTGGTGTCTATTGACACTTGGTTTATTTATAAAATTACAAGCTTAGGGCTGGTGATGCGGAAAGACTCCTAAGCACTGACAGCAGATCAGGACTGGTTGCTTACCATGAATTTCCCTTCATGCAGGAGACATCCAGGACAGCAATGAGTTAATCCCTTCTGTTCCCCAGGACACATGAGCTAGCTAGAGTCACACATGGTCAGCTCCAACCTTAGTTCCAACAATAGCCAAACCAATGAAGTGGCAAAATTACAGAATGGAATCAGAATGGGCAGGGCGGAGGGCAAGGAAAAGAAAACACTCCCTCCAAAAAGGC